TCACTGGTGGCCCTGTTGGCGTACCTCTGCTGCGTGTTCTTGTTCTTTTCTTTTCTCATATATTGCGGAACACTGAGAGGTTTCCCATTTCTGGCTGACGTGTGTAATGATGATGCTGAGTTGGAGGTGACTACTCTGATGAGGATGGTGCTTTAAATGTCGTACAACGAGCAATAAAGATGTTATAACAAAGGTCCGGTTTCCCATTTGAGCACCTCTGGTACCTTCCTGAGCGAGTTGGATGTCTAATATTGTCTTCCTCCATGCGAATACTGATCTGGATGAGTATCAATGTCATACCAGGGATTTATACGGTTGCTTTACTACCACTAGACGGTGTGCTTTTGTGCGTGAGCCGCGATGCTACCTTGGAGCCCGAACTTTGACAGGAAATGTGGATTCGAACTCGGGGCACAGCGATTGCCAATCGGGCTCCGGAACCGCTATACCACGATACAAGAAGAGGTCGGTAACCAGTAGCATAACAGTTGAACACGTCCCAGGATTTTCATCCTGGTATGTGTTGTCGTTTGGTCCCAGCGTTTGTGTTGCATCGGCTGGACCCGCGGGTGCACGCCACTGTGGTATGAAGTTTACTTGAATGTTTGTGATGGTTTGGCCACGATTGTCCGCACGTAAACAAAGCTTTAGGGAAGCAATGCGCTCCGCCCTTCCTACAGGCCACCAGCTCCTGTTGTAAATCTCACAATATCTCCCAGGTGCTAGGATTATTTCATCCCTTTTTCAGGTTTACAAGTATATTTGGGACGCTGCTGTCTCAACTCACCCATATCCCTCCCGGAGCAGCTAACTTTCATCCAAAGACGCTGTAGTTAGCCGCTGTAATAGTAGCCGATCTTCCATCTCTGTTATTTCAAAGATGATGAATTAAACGTGCGTACCATGTGGAAGCATACTCACCCCAATTTGTATGGTTCGCAGCGGGCTTAATTCATTTCGATGCATTATGCATTACGGAATAAAACTCCTGTTCATCTGGAGACATTGTAGCACGAACGTTGTGTTCACCGGTTTCTTCAAAAGATTCATACCTATGGGTTTACTTTGGTGTTTGCGTGAATACCACAGTTGCGTAGTCTATTTTGCTGATAACGATTACCTACAAGCATGCATACCTAACCCAGCGGTGCTTGTCGCGCTTCAGTTTTTCCCGACCATAATGAACCGCACGCGGTTCCCTGATGAAACTGATGAGCTTCGAACACGTGACGATTCCGGGTGCGAGTGAGCCAGTTACTTGCGGTGTCCAACGCACCATTCTGGACGCGTGGTGGTTGATTTAACGAATCTGCTTTTACCTCTTCAAATCCATCTACCTTCATTAAAGCACGACACCATTGCCAACAACTTGTGCTAAGGTTGTGGTTCCAAACCTTGAGGTAATTATCCCCTAATAGGTGAAATGTGGTGTTACGAGGAGTAAAGACTATACAATGATTGGGTCATCGCTCAGTAACGAAACAACATTATTAACAAAATCCTATGTATTGTATCATCTAACCAACTAGCTAATCACTAATGCTTAATCATTAGTGACTACTCATTAGTGATTGTCAAGGGAATTGGACCATTTCAGGTAACAAATATTGTTACCTAAGGTGCGAATACCAGCCTGCACTGCAGCGCCGTTAGATGGCGCGTCTATCGGTTTGCTCGTCGTTTCTTTGGGTCGGCAAGCCGTTCACATCTCCATGATCAATTCCTACAGGTGAGGTTGATGTCGCCGATTTCGCTAACTCCCGAACACATCGCGGTTCGGTGAAGCAAACTCAAGTGTGTGCATTAATTGTGTGCGAGTCTTTTCCTGATTTCGCAGATTACCAGTTAAATTCGTAAGAGCTAATACCCTTTGCAGTGGATGAAGGAATATCTCCAGATACTGCAATTGAAGCCAAAACACATTTTCTTGGTTTTGGTGGAGAAACCACACTGAAAGAGCTTTCATCGTTATTATTGATCATTATACATGTTAGGTAGAAGTGGGAAACACCTCAGCTACTGTGCCGCAATACAAAGAAGAAAAAAGGAGAAAAAATCCAACTGGTGCAAGCCAGCTGAGCGACCGGTAACGGATGGGCATCGTTCCGGTAAGATAGCAGCCGGCTACTATGCAGCAAAACCAATTACTATGCAAAAGTATATAAGTCCATATAGTGAGATCTGGTTGGAGGGGAGGCTAAGAGGGATGGGGTGGGACAAAGAAACTCACAGCACCAGCGCCACTGAGGTCGGCTCCTAGCCATATCAGCAAGTGTATCCAACCAAAAGTGTTCATCTTCTTTCCGACCCCAACCAGGGAGCCGAGACGTTCCAACCCAGGCCAGCTCAGAATTGTGGGCCTTCATTCCTCTGGACCAAGTCATCGCTTGGCCACCCCTCCTCTTCTTCCATCCACACCCCCGGCGCGCAAACAATACACGTCGCGGGAGTCGGTGGGCTGGCATGCGTAACACGTGGCCGAGCCATCGGAGCCTGATGCGTGAAATGTCGGTGTTGAGCGGTTCATTTCCTTTTCCTGTGTCGTAAACCAGGCGACGAACACGCTCGTTTCTCACGCGGTGTTCCCACCAAATGTGAGCTAAATTACGAAGGCACCGGTGGTCGAACGTAACCAGCCTCTTCACGTCCGCTGCTTTAAGCGGCTAGGTTTCACAGCCGTAAAGGAGAGTTGAACGGACGGCTGCATTGTACACTCTAACCTTCAATGCGATAGTGATTTCGCTTCGGCGTCATGACCCGAAACCGGTGGGAGCCTGCTGATCAGTCCAATGCAGCTCGGCACGTTTGTGAGCTGTGACAGATGAGGGCAATTTCGACAGCGTACTCCAGGTAAAGAATTCGTTTACCAGGGAGCAGTTCCACACCTTCCAAGTCGTGTACTGTGAACGCCATCTCCGTAAATTCGTTAATATCGAAGTTGGAAAGGAAAGGTGACAGTGAGCATCCTTGTCTTACACCAAAGAACGTATTGAAGCGTGACGACAGGATGCCGTAAACTCTCACTCTGCTCGAGCTACACGTATAGCGCTCGGATAATGCTTACATACTTATCAGGCACATTCTTCCCGAGTAGGCAGTCCCAAATGGCACATCGATCGACCGATTCGAAGGCACCTTTGATGTCGAGGGAAACGACAACAGTGGGACTGCACTATATATATATATATATATATATATATATATATATATATATATATATATATATATATATATGGTTGGCGGCATCCGGTTTCGGAATTGCCTGTCACTGTGGCCAGCCACAGGACGCCTGCGCCTACAGAGGGACCATGGGTGGCTTGCGCTGCACCACCCACAGCTCCATCCACATACCCCATATCCAGTGTAAACCCGAAGGAATAAGACCGGGAGGCATGTGGATGGGAGCCACGTTTCATCAACGGCGCCGGCTCACACTCCTTCACAGGCAAACGCAAGCACGCTGTATTTGGGGAATCAAGCGCACACAAGACGGTGGCTGGACCGTAGTCCGCTCCACACCGAGTGCATGGAACCGCACTTCGTGCCTAGCACGGCCACAAGGACTGTGCACGCTGTCCCCTCCAGCAACTCCCAACTGTCTCCTAGAGCCAGTATGGTCGAGGCAGTGGGTAATAGACAGGTAGGCACCTTGTCAACATGCACATCAAGACCAGTCCCACCAGGGATATCAAGCAATAACCAATCACCTAAAACGACAAGATGAAATGAATCCAATAATGCATACAGATACGGTGGCATAACTCCTCGCTAAATTAGCATGTGAAGTAACATGGTTAGCAACGAATCCGTGGTAAGGAAAAATGTCCACAAGTTATTTAGAAATGCTACAAGCGCAACAAAGTTACGGAAGATAAGCGTAATTAGCGAAAGCAACGTGGCCAGTTAATAGAAGATTATTCAGGTAGGCAGAACAAACCAATTTCCATCTACTTTGAATACGGTCCCAGTGATCGCAGTGACTAAGGTTCATTTCAATGGGAATCACAGTCCATTACATTGAGATTACGCGTCGCAATCCAATCACACAACATGTAGTTCAAACTTGACCCTCCAATTAGTCATTTACCGCTGTGCCAAAAAGCCTTGCCCACCGTGACCCGGTAGCCAAAGGGGTAGTGGTGTGGGCTACCATTCCAATGGTCGCGGGATCGAGGCCTGCTGTCTCCACCTGATGAGATGAAATTACATCGAAACGCGTCGTGGTTGTGCAGTGTTTTCGGGTGGGCAACACCCAATTTCCATCTACTTTGAATACGGTCCCAGTGATCGCAGTGCCTAAGGTTCATTTCAATGTTAATCACAGTCCATTACATTGAGGTTGCGCGTCGCAATCCAATCACACAACGTGTAGTTCAAACTTGACCCTCCAAAAGTGGAATGAAGTTTAGCCAGCTTAAAAAGACCTAGTTTAAGTGTAAGTTGGTATAGCCCAACTGCGGTGAAGAAGCATCAAGAATGCAACATCAGGCTGAGCATGGGGCACACATACATATATGGTTGGCGGCATCCGGTTTCAGATTTGCCTGTCACTGTGGCCAGCCACAGGACGCCTGCGCCTGCAGAGACCATGGGTGGCTTGCGCTGCACCACCCACAGCTCCATCCACACACCCCATATCCAGTGTAAACCCGAAGGAATAAGACCGGGAGGCATGTGGATGGGAGCCACGTTTCATCAACGGCACCGGCTCACACTCCTTCACAGGCAAACACAAGCATGCTGTATTTGGGGAATCAAGTACACACAAGGCGGTGGCTTGAGCGTAGTCCGCTCCACACTGCTGTACTGAACTTCTAGCGATGATAGTAAACAGCTCTTCAATGCAACAATTCGGAAAATATGTTAACATACTTAGTAAAATATACATTATGTCAGGTGAATTGCGCATTTCAATTTCTAAGTTACCTTAACTAGCATAACGACGATTCTAACTGCCACTACAAAAATCTATTTCTCTTCATCTCTCTTCCTTTCGGCAGCGGAATGCCTATGGGATCCATTTGTTTGAAAAAGTGTGCAGGGAACTGGACCTGCGAGAAACCGAATATTTTGGAATGACGTACCGAGGTGCTCCGAGAACAGACGTGAGTGCTGTCGTCTGCTATTTTCAAGCACTGATAGTATAATACTGTGTTTTTGTAATGGTGAGCTTCACTTTAGCCTTGTATAGTTCATTGTCGATTTGTAAGGGTGAATTGGACGGCACTACCATTACTGTGCCACTGACCTTATTGTCCTCTGCTTGGCACTCCAATATAAACGACTAAAACCCGAAAGTCAAGACACGGCTGACCGCATACTTTCTGCGCTGATTTTCAGCTACCTTTATAGGTCAAGCATACCAGTCCAAATGAATACATTGATCCTCTGCGCCTTGTCTTCAGTCGCTTTTACTGGGTTCTACACCATTAGCTATGGTGCGCCCAGCAATGTACCTCGTCACATCCTCGATGTACACCGGATTTCGTCAGGCAGTCGCACGGTCAGTCACAGTGTGGTGGACCAAAGCCATACCCTACTACGCCAGTTATCAGTAGTGTGGTTCAAGGATGCGAACTAGCAACCAGCCAAGAGCAGGTCGTACTGACTCCCCAAAAGAAAAGGAACACTAGAGCCGCAGTTTTATGCGCAGAAGGAATAAACGCATTAGCATACCACACAAACCAACTGCTAGACACAGAATCAAACTCGCGCCATGCAATCACCAACTGGGATAACGAAGATGATTGGATGTCTCAATTGTCTGCGCGCATGCACTTAGTTTTAGCTATGATTAGACAGCGAATAGTTCCGCACAAATTTCGGGTTTTGCAAAGGCCGCGTGATGGACCATTACGTCAGAAAGATCTTTCCTGAACTATTTGAAGATGGGTTGTTTGAATTCTCTTTTAGGATTTCGGGGGTTTGGCAACGGTTGTTTGAGTCAGGACCGCCCGAGCGAACTGGTGGTATCACGGAGTCTCCTCAAGGGGAGGGCGAAGGCAGTTCTGGTGTTGGCACGAAGAGGCCCCGCCAAGTTGGAGTAGGCTGCTGCGAAGGATGCGTTGGTCTGAATGGGACAGCCCAGACGACCGCCGAGAGGCCATCCGGCTGTTCAAGGCGGCAAGCCTTGTAGGGGCGGATCCGCTCGTGTATTCAGTCCACATCAGGAGCTTGTTAGACCGAGCTTTGTTGGGAGTGGATGAGCCGTTAAAACGGTAGTTACTGGTGGATCAGTACAGGACCACTCTCCCACAGCCAATCACGGTGCGCGTACGGATTTTGAATGCTACTCGGGGAATGCAGCTGGAGGAGTTGGCACAGGTTACTCAAGAACTGGGCGACGCACCACACACTGCGTTGAAAGATGAACACCATGCAGAAGTGGAGCGGATGGATAAATTGGAACGGATGCTAAAAGAGCTCGCAGAAGACGTCGACGGGCTTCGCGTTCAGGGCTCAGAGTAGGGAGCCAGCCGATGTTGCTGTCTTTTCGGGAAACATTGGAAAAGACAGTGTCCGGTGGGGCGTGCTGTTATTCGTGTACCAAATACGCATTCAACCGTTTTTCTTCTCGAAACGAGAAAACTGTGCTCGGGGCACTGAGTAGGTGGGCATCCGAAGCAATGGTGGAAGTAGACGGAACGATGGAGCAGTGCCTGATGGATACAAGTGCCGCGGTTTCGCTCATCAACCATCGTCAGGGCAAAAGCTTCAATCGTGTTCTGTGGTTGTGAGAGCTTTTGGGGGTTACTCAGTGAGCATGGATGGTATATCCGAACAAATCGTGAGCATCGGGGGATGGAAACCAACACATGTCTTCATCGAGACACCAGATGCAAAACAAACCATAGTGGGGCAGATTTTCTGGAGTTCAACAAGTCTATCGTCGACCTAAAACTTTGAAACTTGTTGTTTGAATGCAAATCGTTACCAGTTATTGGCGTACAGAAACGATACCTTTTACAATCGGTTGTTGCCGCGTTACATTTGAGCCCAACCTTGCAATCACTAATCACAAAGTATCAACCATTGTTTACGGATGACGGCAGACGGGGTGGATTTTGCGACTGGATCGAGCACATCATTCCGCTAACCTTCCAGACGTATCGGCCAAATGGACCCCGAAGGATGCCAGTCCATATGCAAGCTGAAGTGAAGAGGCAAGTACAGGAGATGCTGGACGCGGATGTGATTGAGGAGGCGCACAGCCCATACAATTCTCCAGTTGTGTTGGTGAAGAAGGCTAATGGAAAGTATCGTTTCTGTATGAACTTCTGAAGACTATATGAAATCTCCTTGAGTCGTTTCGTTCCAGTGCCATCAGTTGCTGACATTTCTGATAGACTGCGACGGTCGAGGATAATCACAGTTCGGAATCTGAGGTCTGGATACATTTCAACTGTCGATCAAACGAGAAGAAGGAGAGAAAACGGCATTTGCTGTCGCTGAAAATGGATATCAAATTAAAAGAATGCATTTTGGGTTATCGGGAGCCCCGTTTATCTTCCGACGTTATATGCTTCGCTTATTGAGTCGCTTGGAGAACGTGGTGGTGTACGGGGATGACATGGTGGTGTGTAGCCAATCAGAGGTGGAGCACAGCGGTCATCTCAAGCAGTCTTGGAAAGGATTCAGCAGCAGGGACTCCGCATATATGGACCGAAATCCCAGATGGGAGAGACTTGTCTCACCTTATTGGGCCATAAAGTGGGACAAGGTGATCTGGAGCCACTGTCTGAGAAAATACTGAAGTAACACGGCACCGTAGTTCCTGCCTCGAAGCGCACTCTCCGAGCGTTCCTGGGCCGTGCTGGGTACTGAAGCAAATTCGTCCAGAATTCAACAACTTGGCCTCACCTTTGTATGAGCTACTGAACCAGTATAAGTAATTCATTTAGACTGCAATACCCTACAAGTCTTTGATCACATTCTACAGAAAATGGGAAGACAGAAGCCATACCTGAAAGTACCCTTAGCTGGAGGGATGTTCACGGTGGGCACGAATGCCAGCGAGGTCGGAGTCGGTGCGGTTTTGAAACAAAGCCGTGAGACGATTGCGGATGCTCGCAGCATTTTGACACCGGAAGAACGCAGATAATCAACGATAGTGAAGGAATGTCTCACAACCGTCTGAGCATTGGGCAAATAGCGACCATATCTGTTAGGTCAGCGATTGCACGTCGAAACGGACCACAAGCCTTTGGAATGGATTAAGTCCGCTTAAGGCTCCAGTGGTAAGCTTGCGCGATGGGCGCTGCGCCTACAGGAATACGTTTTGACGATATATCACGTGCCGTGGATGGGTCACCAAACTGCGGCGTTTTCGTCACGCATGATGAGCGAAGACGACCTGCCGAGTGTGGCTTTCCGTATTAATGGTATGCTGTTGGAGCAGGATCCGGAATAGTTGGCAGCCGAGCAACGTAATGGCAAACTCTTGCGCAAAGGGATCACTGCACGAATAGCCTGTCAATCAGTCTTAAACAAGAGCCAACTAAAGCAGTTCGGACCGTTTGCGAGGAATCTTGAGAAGCTACAATTAACTGAATTGTGGATTCTGATATGGATACCAGGAGGTAGTAACACATTGGTTCCGTTTATTACGATCAAACTAAAGTGGAGGCTGGTGTTTTCTCCTCACGAGGTGGCGCACACCGGTTGGTCCTATTCTTACGATCTGCCGCAACAACGCGCCTATTGGCCGGGCATGAAGAAAGTCGTCGAGACATACGTACTTTCGTGCAAGCAGTGTCAGCTCTTGCAAACAGATTGCCGAGGAGCACTACAACCATTGATGTCGATTTCGGTATCGGATATTGGTGAACTATGGTCGATCGACGTGATGTGACCGTTTCCATTAACTAGGCAGGGTAAGCAATACACCTTGTTGATGACGGAGCACTTTATGCGCTGGACGGAAGCAACAGGAATCCCGGCTCAACGGGCGCCCACCATTACCCATGCCGTCATGAAACATTTAATGGCGCGTCACGGAATCCCAAAGGCCATATTAACAGATCATGGTTGATTCTTCGAGAGGCAGGACTCGGAACTGCTTGGAGAAACTTGGTACCAAGTAAGTGCGGACAGCTCCATAACACGCGCAGACGAATGGCTTGACGGAACGTAACTATAGAACGGTTAACGTGGCTAGCGGACTAGGGTGGAGAATGCAAGGAAGCTTTGCCACAGCTGTTGCTGACCCATCGAGCATCCAAACAGGCGTCCACAAAGGAAGCATCTTTCCAATTGATGTACGGTCGAGCACCTCGCTTACGATTGGATCTAGAGATTGGAATGTGGCAAAGGTGTTGCATATCTCCCAAAGGGGCATAGGATAACAGGAAGGCAACCAACCGTAACCTGCAAGCAACTCAGGCGCAGAGGATGGAGAAGTCCCAGACCAACAGCGGTAAGATGAGTGTCGGGTTTCCGATCCGTTCGAAGGTGTAATACGGGGACCGTCAACACGCTCCTCATTGTGGCCCATGGGCGAGGAAACTCCTACCGAAATGGAGGGGACCGTACGAGGTGGTCGATCGGCTAGGCGCGGTGTACACAATCGCTCGGCAAGGAGATTCACAGCGAGTACATGCCAGTGAGTTGAGGAAGTGGTACGAGTTAGAGAAGCTACCACCTTCGCACAGTAAGCATCAAAGACGGTCAGCGAAGTCAGCTGAGGCGAGCACTTTGGACGGGCTAAAGTGTGGTGGACTAAAGGCAGACGCTACTGCGCCAGTTGTCATTAGCGTGGTACAAGGATGCGAAATAGCAACCAGCCAACAACAGGCCGTGATGACTCTTCCAAAGGAAAAGAACACTTTGGAATCGCAGTTGTATGCCCACGAGGATTGCTCGCATAAGCAATGCACACCAAACAACTACTGGCCACAGAATGAAAGCCGCTACGCAGCCACCCACCGAGATTACGAAGATGAGTGGATGTCTCGTTTCTCGGAACGGATGCACTTAGTATTAACCATGTTTGCATCATGAAGGATTCCATCTGCACATCGGGTTCCCACATCATACACCCACGCTGCTGTTTCGTCCTCGTGTTATCGCGTTGTGCGTAGCTGTTCTTTCAGTTTTGCCACCACACAGACGAGGTCTTTTCAGCCCTTTTGCGTTACACGGTCTTGTGAAGTACTGCAAGTGTTGGGTTGCGTCCAATGATTATAAACTACAGTGCAGCGTGTAATATATATAGTGTGCATCAGTCTATGATCATCTGACCCTGTATAGTATGTGTTTTCGTTCATTCTCCGGCCACCTCTCCAGCAGCCAAATCTAACTGGCTGAATGCTGTTCAGTACCGGTGTTGTACTAGCCAATCACGACCTATTTCCCAAATTTAGCCGCACCTTATCGGTTTCAGCCTGGACCAGTTGGTTGTCGGTTATCCGAACCCAGTCGATGGTGCTTAACTACTTGGCGCTCATTGGTTGGTTATGTTCCGGTCAACCGCTCTTCTTTCCCACTTGTTCTCTTGCCTTACCATTCTCCTTAGAGCAAGTTTTTCTGTGGGTAAAATGAGGCTGATCCGGTGACGTACTTCGCCACATTGTTCTTCAAAATAGCTCACATAATGGTACACTCATTGTTGCTTACGTTGATATCTTTATGTGTATCTCTCTTACTTCCTTTTTGGCTTGCTTACATCCTGTCCTGTTGAAATGGATGATCTGCTGAGTACCTGGTGCTCACACTCCTTTCTTTTTTCAGTATTGGTTGAAAATGAACAAGCGTTTGTCAAAGCAATTGGAAAGTGAGTTTGACGGCACTTTTAATGTCGTTAATTATGCCGTTTTACTTTTGCTTACATACGCTTTAATTGCTACTGCATTTTCCACGGACCTAAACTGGTCAAAATTGAATCCGGCCTGCTCAACCAAATTGGTCAGTCCACTGGAACCAGTCGTCCGGCTGTAATCCACTCAAGCCGGAAGTTAACAATGTAGTACTACGCGGGTGTAACTCTAAAAGTTGCCTCCACAGCGTGCACCCAAGCGTGCTGCAACTGAGCTGTGCTTTTGTGTGCGTATGTCAAACTCGGCTTATGCCCCATTGAAGTGGTAGTAGTCTTGACGGCTTGCTGTTGCAAGGGAATTTGCGATCTCTATAATTCCTGACCGGTCACCCGCAACTCCGCTCGCCTATGTCAGTGTTCTTGCAGTGCATTAGTCAAAATGGCAATTGTCTCGTACGACCAAATATCATCTGATCTCCGAGCAGAAACGTACAGTAGATTCCTCATAGTCACCATAATGACCTTAGTTATTGCATTAAACGTGTGACAATGTAATTCACCGCCGGTTGATTCACATGTCACAAGCGCAGCACCTGCGCACAGAAGATAAAGTTACCAAAAGTTGGATGCTGTTAAGGCTCTACTCCAATCCCTGTTCTAATTTTCGCACCGCAAAAACCGTGATGTAACAACAACAGGAACGTCTTTAATTTTGCAGTTTGACTGGTACATCCTCCTTTATCCGTTGAAGATATCCCATCTTTGTTGGCCTCAGTGCATGCATTGTCGGAGGTTGCGTCATCGACAGGTTAAACCGTACGCAATTCAGGTCCTTATGCAAGGGAACCAGGGTTGTGGCAGCGTGCAATGATTGTGGGATTTTCCTGTCTTTAAATTGGATCACTTTATAGTCTTTCAAAAAATGTTCTCCCACCGGCTAGAGCAATGCACGTTGTATGCAACATTCGGGTGTCCATTTGCTAGGTCCATACCAGTGTGCGTGCGTGTGTTTGCTATCAAACCCAGCGAGCCAGGGTGATGCGCAATCCGATGGTGGTTGCCGGTATAACTCATTGGCATGACAAACAATGGTTGTGGTCCGGAGTTGATACTGCGCAGCTTTGGTCAGTATGTTGTTGACTGGGTTGCTACTGTGTAAAGCGGTGTGGCACTTCCATTCCTGCCATGCTGCCGTCCCCGGTTAGATACTACTGGTTTCCACTCTAGTAGTGTTTACGAATTGTGGAATTGGAACATTGTGCTATCACCTAAATCTTCAGTGACTTGATAAATCATTTATTATATTCTGCTTTGGTCGTTTGTTCAGTGCGTAACCTGCTTACTGGATGAGGAAATCCTGAGTTGTCGGCCCTCCTTGCTCACTTGGAGACTTTGACCTGCTCGGAAACAAAGGTGCGCCACTTACAAGTTCACAAATAGTCTCTAATTAAACATAGGTTCTGCTTCAGTTTAATATCGATTGTTAGTGTTAAGAGTATAAAAGAAAGCAGCCGACTTTAAAGTGAATGACCAATTCACTAGCCTTTTACTAAGCTTGTAAACTTGATAATTCGGTCACGTTGTATTAAGCTGTGCACTGTGCTGTTCAAATTGCGCACATGGTTTAAGTAATATTGCTCATAAGATCACTTGCTTCAACTCATCTGTCGCGGATGAATGTGGCACTGTACTTGTTTCCTTTGGTGATCTTTCACCCTACTCAAGGTGGTTAAACACTTAATGTTCCTTGAACAGGTTTGAACCTGTGATTCTGGTGAATACTCTCGCATCCGTAGAAAGAATTGGGTCGACAGCCTTGACACGACGACTTCAGATAGGAAAAATCCGAAGTCGTATACTTTTCCATCTTCGGATCGGTGTACATCAAATGGTTTGCTATGTTGTTGTGCCTATGTCTAACTATTTGGTAACATGGTAGACATGTGTTTGATGTATTTGGGAAATCAAGCGCACACAAGACGGTGGTTGGACCGTAGTCCGCTCCACACTGAGTGCATGAAACCAGTCTTTGAGCCTAGCACGGCCACAAGGGCCCTGCAGCAACGACCAACTGTCTGCTGGAGCCAGTATGGAGGAGATAGTGGCTAACAGACAGGTAGGCACCTTGTCAACATGCACACCAAGCGCAGCCACACCGAGGATATCAAACAACAGCCAATCAATTTAAACGATATCAAATATGATGAATCGAGTAATGCATAAGGATATTGTGACATAACTCCACACTAATTGCGCATATGTACTTACTTGGTTGCCAAAAAGTCCGCGAAAGGTTCACGACCTCAAAAATATATTTGAAGAAAATGCCACAAACGCGAAAATGTTATCGAAATTAATTAAAGTAGTTTAAGGGACGTGTGCAAGATTATAGAATATGGTTCAGTTAGACCTTGATATGAATTAAAAATCATTGGGAAAATATAGCAAACACACCACCTGAAAAAAGGAGATTCAGCACGCAAGCACGCGATTAGTAAATCAAATGCAGCGTATCTGCAAACGCTGCGCAAGTCCTGCCTACGGTCACAGCAGGACCCGTCGTGGTTTCCGGGTTGGCCCCGAGTGGCCTCGCTTATGGCTCACTAGGTCTGCCTGACTAAGGCAGTCGCGACCGCATGTTCTACAGCACCATACGCTTGATGTCGATGGAGTACAACCCATCGGTGCTTGCCGTTTCCGCACTTGCCGCTTCTTCTCCGCATACCTGAGGCCTTTCTTGTACACCTCGGCAACTGCCTTCGTGATCAGTTCGCGCCATACACGCCGATCAACCTCCTTCGATTCCCATGATCTGCAATCAAGATTAGAATGTGAGAGGTTCACTTTGATCATGTCCTTGTAACGAAGCATCGGTTTCACCGCAAGCCGCTTTTAAACACTCAGCTGACCATATAATAGCTGCTTCGGTATCCGCGTCGAATCCATACGGCTCACATGACCGAGCCACCTCAGGTGTCTTAGCAAAAGTATGCAGTTCACTGCATACATTCCAGTTCGGCCCTACACTTCCGTATCTGCAACTCTATCGCACCAACCGATGCACAGAATCCGTCGAAAACACTGCTGATGGAACCGCTCAAGATGTCGCACATCTCCCGGTACATCATCTACATTTCGCTGCCGTACAGAAAAACGGACAGCACCATGCATTGGTACACTATCAGCTTCGAACCAATGCTAAGCTGATGGTTGTTCCACACTCGGTACTCCAGCTTCTTGAATCTCGCCGCTACCTTCTAGAAGCGGATATGCATCTCACTGTTTATCTGCTGGTCAGTTGACACCACACTCCCAAGGTAGCAGAAGCGGGAGGTGGTTTCCAACACTTCATCACCAATGCTGATTTGCGGCAATATTGAAGCTTACACCTCCGGTGAAGGCTGAAAGTGACAGCCACGTTTGCTTGTGTTGACGGTGAGTCCGAATTTGGCCGCTGTCAAGGCCAGAGCACTAGTCATGTGCTGCAACTCATCCGCGCTTTGTGAAAACAATGCACAATCGTCAGCAAACAGCAACTTACGGATAATTGTCTCACATACTAAGGTTCTCGCACCGAAACAACGGATGTTCAGCAACCAACCATCAATGCATTGCTCCACACGAACACCGTAAGCACAAGCCGAATCAAAAACACAAGACAACATTGCATGAAGATAAATATTAAACAGGGCAGGAGCTAAAACACGGCCTGGCTTTACACCAGACAACTGCAAAGTCATCCTAGGTCTATCCACTCAGCTGCACCCTCACCCGCATATCACTGTGCAGACATTCAGTTAGGCTTACAAATTTACTCCGACAACCAGACTTACTTAACACCAGCCACAATGTCTCGCGGTTCCCCGTATCAAATGCTTTCGTGGACACAACGAAAAGCGAGTACAACGGCTAGTGTCGTTCTCTACACTTCTCCTGCGACTGACGAGCCACAAAAACCATATCGATGGTACAGCGACCCAAACGGATCCACGTTCGGTTCACCAACCTGACTGACGAGGCGGTTGAGCATGATTCGGGCAATCGCCTTGCCCACACAACAGCAAGTCGATGCCACGATAATTCGTGCAACATTGCTTGCTCCCTTTGCCTTTGTACAGTGGCAGCATAAGGGAATCCTTCAGCTCGGGAGGCTCCTAGTCTTCAATCCACCCGCGTTGCATCAAGTGGTGCAGCGCAGTCACCAACGCAGATCCCTCGTTACCATACTTCAGGCTCGATCCCGTCGGCACCGACACACTCGTCGTTTCGCAGCTGAGCAAGTGCTCTCTGCGTCGAATTTTAATGCGACGAAGTTCTCAGGTCAGTCGCCGTCGAATTTTGCGCAAATGAATCTTCTTCCCTAAGTCACTGGGGTCTGCCACATGTGCAGCAAGTGCTACGTTCTCCTCCGACACCAATGCCCCATTCGTTGCATTGTTCTCATCAAACCAATCAGGCCGCTTACAGTTTGCGCCCCCGATGGTCTCCTCGATAGCTGCTGACACCTGGTCGCGAATGTGGTGCCACAGATCGCCCACTGTGACTATGCAGTCCACATCACACAGGCGTGTGGCCATCACCCTCTCCAACTCATTGGGTTTTTCCGCAGTGCCGAGGAAGATAATGTTGAGTTTACGCCAATTCACGGCGGGAGTGCACTCCATAGATTTACAAAAATATCTATACAGTTTGGTCCACACCCATTTGTGATCAATGCCACACTCAGCTCCCCGCAGTACACGTGTGATGCGCACTTCACGAATATGACGCTGACATACCATGACATAGTCGAATAGGTGAGCGTGACCCCTCCTTGGGTGCGTCCAAGTTACTAAATCACCCGCACTCAGTGCAAACCGTGTGTTCGTGATCGTCAGGCCGTGAGCGGCACACAGTGAGAGCATCCCGTCACCGTTTGAATTCGCTGAACCAATGCCATGCGGAGCGACGTGATCTGTCCACACCGATGCATCACGCCCAACGCGCGTTGAGATCACCCAGCGGAAATAGTCGGTCGC